GTTACTGTTGCCATTCATACTAAACTGGACTATTAAGATTAACACTCATCAGGTTCGAAATCCAAAGTCATAAGCATACATGTCACCAAATTAACAAAAATGCAGCACTACAGCCTGACAAGTGAGTTCAGCCACCCTGTTAGTGAGATTAATTAAAATTACGTCATTGATTTTGGAGGAGTGTGTATATTTCTGACAGCCATCTGTTCTCTGAAAGAAAACCAGTCTGTTTCTCAGACTCTTTGCTGCAGCTGTGTGGATCACTCCTGTGGCCTTGTATAGTGTCTCAGTATGTGTGAGTGTGCATACACATGAAAAGTTGTGTTCTAACATTCATGCATGATGTTTAATTTGTTGTCACAAAAGGCCTTTAATCCCTTTCGTACTGTATTTCTTTTGATTCTAGTGCCTAAGTGGCACCATTTAGAAGAAAAATCGGCTTTGTCTCCTGCAAACACTATTAAATTAACCATTGGTTTATATCCACTTCTCTTTGATAGCCACCATATCTAGTACACACACGTACATCCGTGTATTTCTGTTGTTGTGAGGACTGTTGATTGAGTTACGTTAATGCAATAACTAAGAACCATAACACAAAAGCTGTGTTCAGACCAACTTTAGCACTGCATGGAAGAAAGCACCATGCATCCCTCACATTTCAATTAACATCACTGTGATGTGTTGTAATGCATAAGTGCTACCAAAAATGCACAGAGCTGTCCAGCTAAAAAGGTAAACCTGGCTCAACTGTTGCTGCAATGCAATGTTGCATCATCCATCAGCCCGCTGTGGTGGCCAAGTGTAAATTCCTGGTATGTTTCTTTGTAATATAAACAACATAATTCTTTTCCTCACAATAGAGTACTGCCAGAAAACTAAACTAAACTAAACGCTCTGAAAACAGTGGAGATGGTTGTGGACTTTAGGAAGAACCCAGCCCCACCTGCCCCCATCATCCTGTGTGACTCCCCAGTTGACTCTGTGGAGTCCTTCGACTTCCTGGGTACCATCATTACCCAGGACCTCAAGACCAAGAAAGCCCAGCAGAGGATGTACTTCCTGCGGCAGCTGAGGAAGTTCAACCTGCCAAAGACGATGATGGTGCACTTCTACACCGCCATCCATCCTCACCTCTTCCATCACCATCTGGCACGATGCTGCCACTGCCAAGGACAAGGGCAGACTGCAGCGTATCATTCGATCCGCTGAGAAGGTGATCGGCTGCAATCTGCTATCCCTCCAGGACCTGTACGCCTCTAGGACAGGCGTGGGGCCAGGCAAGATCTGCTCCCCTCCGCACCCCGGGACACTTTGAAACATTCCATCTGGCAGGAGCTGTGTCCCATCCAGGACCAAAACCTCACCCACAAAAAGCAGTTTCTTTCGTCTGCAGTTGGCAGCTGGTCTCATTAACAAGGCCCGGGAACCCCCACTTACACTGACTGTTAAACCCACCCTGTATATATGCATTACATTAATGCACTCCCGTTGGTTTTTCTATCCTACACATTGTAAATATCTTTCCTGTACGGTTTAGATATTTCTATCTTTATCTTTATCTTTATTTATTTATATTTTAAAAGGTACTTTATTTTTCTTATACACCAAGACAAATTCCTTGCATGTGTTAAAACTTACTCGGCAATAAACCCAATTTTGATTCTGATTCTGATTTAGAAGACAATACATTATTCTGTTTAAAATCCTATGCAGAAAACATTTGGTGATGCTACCTTGAGTGTTGATGTGGTACAGGACATCTTTGTAGCCCGGAGCAGAGAAGCTGGAGTGGTAAACACGGCAGGTGTAGATGGCCCTCTCATCCTCTCTCGCCATGACCAGCTGGATCTTACTCCACACGCTATAGAGGCTGTTGTGATCGGAGAAAGGTCCAAAGTGTGTGACTTTGCGGACTTGCTCCCCGTCGTTCCTGGACCACTCCATTTCCACATCCTGGGGGTAGAAGTTCTCCACCCGACAGCATAGAACCAGCATCTTCTCCACCTTGGGGATCTGAGGGATGCTGGAGATCTGGAGGAAAGACGGCTCCACTGGAGGTGTGTGTGAGTGTGTGAGTGTGAGTCATGTTAAATCATGTAAGAGTCATCATATTTGCATATTCACAGATTCTGGAATATTTAATGAGGTAGAAGGAGTAGAGTACTTTTTAAGGATGTTAATGTAGATATTGTACCTTTTTTTTTGCAGAAGAAACATATCAGACACGCATTGTTGTTCCAAGCAGACTATGTGTATATATGTCTTAATACATATCTTAATACGGATCTTTAAATTTTACATATAATGTAATATATTTATATATATATATATATATATATAGTCCCTATATTATTCAGATATTGTTATTTATATTTTTTATTATTATTCATATATAATAACAATGTATCAAATGACCTCTGCTATGACTTGGTTCTACTGCCCCCAAGTGACCAAAGAAAGAAGTTATTGCAGTTTTGGCACTGGATAAATCAAATGAATATTTAAAAATCAGCCTGTGATGAACAGCTTTATTATGTCTTCTAAACCCTGGGCATTAAACAATAATGCAGGCATTCACCAGCCAAAAGGCTCTAACAAAGGGATGCTGATGGGAAATGTAGGACACACTGTTTTGGAGCTTAATCAGTTCTGTAGGGCAGTGGTCACCAGAGCGTCTTGTATAGGATCTTGTATGTTGTAGTATGTATTTTTTGTTGTGTTTTATTAATACGATTTAATTGGTTATTTTACAAGATCCAAGGCTAAAACAGTAAAGTTTGTTTCAGAGGGTTGTGCCACAGGAACAGCCATAGACACATTAACATAAGAAGGGGTTTAGAGGAAAATTTGGGCAGATGGTGAAACTAGGTAGAAAAGGTTCCTCCCCTGAGGATCATGAATATAACACAATTACTGCCAATCTGGCCCACAGCTGTCAGATATTTCACTCAAAACTGTTGGACAGACTGAGGTGTACAGTGATGAAAATATGATGCTCTTAGAGCCACAGTTACTCACCTTTTACCTGGACTGTGGTCTCTTTGCTGAAGCTCTTGCCCCTGCACAGTACCACACACTGGTATTTGGTCCGGTCTTCAGTGACTGTCAGACACACAGTCAGGACAGATGTGTGGTTTCTGCCGTCTGACTGGAGACAAGCGTGTTCACTTAGATCCTCGTTGCCGAACAGAGCAACGGATTCTGACTGGACCACTGCGTCCACACTGCCATTTAATCTAAACCACTTCACTTTGAGCTCTCGCTGTCTTGCCCCTTGGATGGAGCATTTGAGGTTGAACGGCACCTGAGCGTATATGATGCTGGGTTGGCTGATGTCAGAAACACTTGGAAGAGCTGTGGAGAGAGATAGAGATGCATGTTGTTGCACAATCAGTAACAATCTCTTCATTCTGATTATGAGTCAAACTTGAGTTATACAGATCTTAATCCAACTTTGTTTAGTTGGTAGGTGAAGTAAGACAAAGAGTGAATATTTTGGATTCCCTCCAGAAGAGTTCCACACTGAAACTTTTCTGGTAACTTTGCAATGCAGCTGGACTTGCCAGATCACGCAAGAATCAAGGTTGTCAGGCTTCAATCTGTATGTCTGTGGCCAAACTACAATGGTACCAGACCAATTAATGTCCTATGAGGAAGTCCTGGCAGCTATGGGGATGGTTAAACAACTATGGCGGCTGCTAAAGAGCTTAGCATAGATGCTGCTAGCATCAGTTCTATCAGAACTGGAGAGTATATCTTCATTGGAAGAAGAGCAAAAAAAAGCAAACTTTTCCCCATGGAAAAGATGTTTTCTCTTGCCTCCCAACTGAAGACTGTAAGAATTGAATTTATTAGGTGAAGGTTGTCCGTGATAGATGGTGATAGACAAATTCATCCAATCACCTGCCAGTTGAACTGAATGTCACTGTGAACATTTTAGTGTGAAAAAATAGTTTCACACCAGGCTGAGGTGTGAAGCTCTCTGGATAAAATCAAGTCTGTTTCACTTCTAAATCACCCTGCTGGTTGGGGAAATGGTCGTAAGTGTGCTTTGTTGCACCTGTAACCACACCCACCAGTGATGTCACAGGGTCCTTCAGTACACCTCTACATCACTTCAGCAAGGTAAATAGTTAAACCACTGGAGCTCAGCAGACTGCTACTGGTACAACTACCAGTACTACTACTACTATCAACTGTAAATAATATTCATGTATTAACAAATTAAATACAATTGTGGCATTGCAATGAATTCAGGTTCAGGTCTTTTTATAGACAGATGTTGTTGTACTGATGAGTTACAATGTTAACATGTAATCCATCATACCCATTAAATTGTCTCATCCACACTGAGCTGTTTTTAAAGGACAATTTCAGTGTTTCAGCCTAACTGCAATATTATTAATCTCAGCTTGATTAAGTTTTACAAATAGACCCTGTTTAAATAACATGCAACTTGTTCACAATGAGACGTACCTTTACAAAAATACCTGTAGAGAAGTAAAGTGCCTCCAATAACAGAGGTAACCAGCAACAAACTGATGACACTGGTGACAGCTATCAGTGTGACAGCACTGTAAAGGGGCTGTGGTGGAGCTGCAGGGAAAAGATGCATACAACATTTAGTTAACATATAGTTCAACATGAATAATGATTTTAATGCAGAGTTTAAAGAATGAAAGAGTTCCCACCTTGAACGGTCAGTGTAACAGATCTGTTGTAGCCCCGACTGTAGGTCTGGTGTTCCACCTGGCAGATGAGGTGTATCTCTCTGTCTTTCACTGCTGATGAGTGCAGTGTGATGCCACTGCGAATACTGTAGGTGCCGTCTGGGTTGTGGATGGCCATTTCAGTGCAGACACGGGAGAGGTGGCTTCCGCCAGCATGGACAGTGCGGGAGCCATTTTGGATGTACCATGTCATGGTCAGTTTCTCTGGATAAAAACCTGCAATGTCACACTGTATCGTCCTCTCCTCCCCCTCTGTCACTGCTGCCTTTTCTGGGAGCATCACTGAGGGCCGAGCTGGGAGAGAGGTCAGAAACAGTACCTTTATGTGTGTATTTGGTTTGGTGTGACTCCTTGAATTCTTTAACATGTCTTCATGCACCAACACACATCACATAGTGCAGATAACTGCTGCTGCACTGCTCTCTGAGAGATAAAACTGGCAACCAGCTAGCTTTGGTGCACACATTGTATTAAAGCATTTATCAGCCAAAGAGTCAGATAGTTCTACATATTTTAGGAGGTGGTGGAGACTAAAAAAGCTAAAAGGAGAGTGAATAGTGGACCTGCATTCAGTAGGTAGACAGAAACACAACTGCATATGTAAATAAGCAAGAGTTTGCTCATACATTAGCTGTAACAACTTTATATAGGGACAATATGTCAATATTGTGTCTAAAGCAATAGTTTAACATTTTGGCAAATGTGCTTATTCACTCAGCAGATGACAGCAGCAGATTTCCCAAAATGCCAAAGTATTCCTTTAAAGGCATACTACGCAGGGTTTTTCTGTTTCTGTTTGTAAATGCACCATTTAAAATTGGCCCCTCCTCCATGGAGAGCGTGATGGTGCAAAGTAGTGAATCCATGAAACAAAATGTTATTTTGTCATTGTTCACAGCAGTAACGTTTTAAAGCACTTGTACACCTCTGCACAACCCTGCAGAAGGTGAATTTTCTGACAAAGCTACACCATCTGCTGTGTGTAGCTCAGCCGGGCCATCGGACAAACAGATCACAGCTCCTTATATATTCATAGTACCACGTAGATCTCCACATATTATAGTGCTGTGCCAGTGCTGGAGAGCAGAGGAGACAGAGACAGCAGTCTGTTTTTATAGTCCCAACCTCAGACCCTGCAGGCTGCCCAAAGATTGACTATCGCAGGACATTTAAATCGCAATACAAATATGTCTCTTTAAACAGCATAGGGCGCAATCTACTTTTTGTTGTTTAGCGTCCTACATCACTTGTGTCAGTAGCTGTATCAAGGCACAAAGACATCGGTTTCACTTTTACAAAGAAGAAGCAATATGTATTGTTTTTCACCATTTATACCCTACCTAAGAAATAAAAAAATATTCTATAGTTTGATAAAGAAAATATAAGTCAAAATATGTTTTATAGATTTTAATCTGAAAAAAATGAATCTTTTCTATATAATTATATAATTAAACCACAAGTAACAATTATACAGTAATGATTATTCTTGTGGCACATTTGAGCTTCCATACACAACAAAAATGTCTGCAACCTACATGTTAAATCCAGAGTATGCGACAAACATTAACAGAATAGAAACAGATTATAATACCTAGCACTTCCAGTGCAGTGGTCTCTGTGTAGACTACAGGTGTGATGATCCTGCAGGTATACAGGCCTTCATCTCCCACAGTCACATTGTGAAGCTGCAAAGATGCATCGCCTTCTAGCAACCGCTTTTTATCCACCACAGAGCCATCTCTGCTCACATACGCTCTACCATCCTCCACAGTGTACACAATGCTCTTTTCTGCACGTTGGTCCACCATGTTCCACTCGACGGTGAGAGCGCTCCACTCCACCAGCTTGGACAGTTTATCAAACAGGCAGCCTAGAGTCACGTCTGTGCCCACCAAGACACTCAGCCTTCTTGTTGTGTCAGCCGAGGAACCTGGAAACACAGAGGAGATTACCTGGAGCGCATGAAAAGACAATATTAAACAAAACACTGCAACACAGACCTTTCCTTTAAACTTTACTGAAACAGTAAAAAAAACATGCCTTTACCTCCACAGTGCAGAACAATAGCCATGACTTTAATCAGAATTTTCACATTCTGTAGATGCTCCATTCTGACTCAGGTGTCACTCTGTCGGTACATGATGAAGTAAAAGGAAACGCCAGTTTCAGCCGAGTGTGTTCGCACAGTCCAAACAGATTCCCTGGACTGCAGATCACATGGTGGTTATATCACTGAACTTGTAGAGTAGGGCTTGGCTGTTAAATATTCACCTGGCTGCTCATTACTTGTTGATCACCTGTTGTTCTAATGTACCTCCTCCTGGACTTTGAGCTGTGGCCGAAACCTTCTGCACAATTACATGTGCTGTAAGACAGTAATCTGCTGGGACTCCCAGCCGCACAGAGTGCGTATTCATGAGTCATGAGTCAATAATATTTCTATTTTCATCAAGATGAATCATCTATATTTATCACAGTTGTTGAATAATATACTTATCAGAATATCGCTCAATTTGGCAAGATAATCTTAAAACCTATAGAAAGGCCCTCCGTAATGCCAGAGGAGCC